GGTGGGAGGAGAACCTGGTGGTGGGTACCTCGAGCCATATTCTCGCAGGAAAGCTTCGACTCCTGAAAAGGTGGAAAAAGGAGGTGTTCGGGAGTTTGGTGTGGAGGAAGAATAGAGCTTTGGCTGATATTGCTGAGATTTATAGATTGGAAGGGGAGGTGTCATTTCTGATTCTCAACGTAGTAGGAGAGCAACTTGTCAGGCAGAATGTGTGGAGCTTGCTTTTTTAGAGGAAATCTCGTGGCGCCAGAAATCTCGGGCATTGTGGCTTAAAGAGGGAGACCGGGATACAAAGTTTTTTCATAGAACTGCTAATGCTCATAGGAGGACTACTCAAATTGGGCAGATGTGTGTGGATGGTTCAGTCTTGACTTCGAAGGAGGTGGTGCGAAGAGGTATTGTCTCTTTCTACCAACGGCTGTATTCTAAGCCTCTTCATTGGAGGCCACGTCTTGATGGTCTTCACTTTGATTCCATTTCTGCTTTGGAAAGGGATGGGTTGGAAAGTCCCTTTTCGGAGGAGGAGGTGCTGAAGGCTTTAAAGAGTTGCAATGGTGATAAGTCTCCAGGCCCTGATGGTTTCACGATGAGATTTTTGTTGGAGAGCTGGGAGGTGGTTTGGTATGAGATTATGGGCACTTTTCATGAGTTCCATTCCACGGGGCGGTTTGAGAAATCGCTTAACGCATCTTTCATTGCGCTTTTATTCCTAAGAAGGGTGGCGCTTCTAATATCAAGGATTTTAGACCTATTAGTCTGATTGGGTGCATCTACAAACTCATCGCAAAAGTTCTTGCATTTAAATTGAGGGAGGTCCTGGATGGAGTTATTTTTGAGTCTCAGAATGCTTTCATTGGGGGTAGACAGATCCTGGATTCTGCCCTTATTGCCAGCGAATGTGTGGATGCTAGACTTTGTAGTGGGGCTCCTGGTGTTCTTTGTAAGCTAGATATCGAGAAAGCCTATGATCATGTCTGCTGGAATTTTTTGTTCTATCTGTTGGAGAGGATGGACTTTGGTGAGAAATGAAGGAAATGGATTGTTTCATGCGTTTCCACTGTCAGGTTTTCGGTGTTGGTGAATGGGTTTCCTTCTGGTTTCTTCGGCAGTTCTCGTGGGTTAAGGCAGGGGGACCCTCTTTCCCTTTTCCTTTTTATCATTGTTCTGGAGGCTCTTAGTAGGTTGATGAGAAGGGTGGTAGAGTTGGGTTTTATCAGGGGTTTTAAGAATGGCCCTGGCTCAGCTCAGCAGTTGGAGATCTCTCATTTACTTTTTGTGGATGACACCATCGTTTTTTGTGAGGTAGAGGTGTCACAGTTAAGGTATCTAAGATGTGTGTTGGTTTGCTTTCATGCTGTTTCTAGCTTGAAAGTTAATGTGGGGAAGATCGTGATTATTCCTGTCGGGGAGGTTCAGGAGGTGGACACTCTGGCTGCTGTTTTAGGGTGTGGGACACAACGCTTTCCTATCTCGTATTTAGGTTTGCCGCTGGGGGACTCAGCCAGGAGGGTGGGAAGTTGGAAGCCGGTGATTGAGCGAGTTGAGAGAAGATTAGCGGGTTGAAAAAAGCAATATCTGTCAAAGGGTGGTAAAGTTACGTTAGTGAAGAGTACTCTGTCAAGCCTCCCAATGTACTTTCTATCGCTCTTTCGGATTCCAGTCTCTATTGTTGGAAGAATTGAGAGGCTTAACGGAACTTCCTGTGGGGGGGGTCGCGGAGAGGAGTTCAAGTATCATCTTGTCAAATGGGAGCAGGTTTGCAGGCCTTTTCGATTGGGAGGGCTTGGAATTAGGAGATTGGCCCCTTTCAATAGTGCTCTTCTTGGTAAGTGACTTTGGAGATTTGGCAGTGAAAGACACAGATTATGGAGAAGGGTTATTTCGTGTCGCTTTGGGGAGGAGAGAGGAGGGTGGTCAGTTAGACCAGTCAGGTTTGCTAGTGGAGTGGGGGTGTGGAGGGCCATTGGAAAGAGTTGGGATGTCTTTTCCAAACATATTAAATTCAAAGTTCGGGATTGAAGGAATGTCCGGTTTTGGGAGGATTCATGGTGTGAGGATAGGCCATTGGCTCTTCTGTTCCCCAGGCTCTTCAGGATCGCTGTTGACATGCTGACTGCTATCGCCTTGATAGCGGAAGGTTGGCTTGGGATGTGTGCTTCCGGCAAGCTTTTCAGAATTGGGAGCTGGATGATCTCACTGGGTTTTTGGCTCTTCTCTACAAATAAGAGGTAGAGGGTACTGGTGCTGACTCTTTGATTTGGGTGCCTTCTCCTCAGGGGATGTTCCAGGTTCGATCCTTTTTTGTGTGCCTCTCTAGTTTTCATGGCACCTCATTCCCTTGGAAGACGGTGTGGTTGTCTAAGGCGCCTCTTAGGGTGGCTTTTTTTGTGTGGACTGCAGCCTGGAGTAAGATTTTGACTTTGGACAACTTGAGGAAGCGAAGACATATCATTGTTAATCGGTATTGTCTTTGTAAGGCTAATGGAGAGTCAGTGGATCATCTTCTGTTGCATTGTCCTGTGACTCATGATTGTTGGAGTTTGCTCTTTGGTTTGTTTGATATTCATTGGGTCACGCCTCGGACCTCTTAGGAGTTGTTGGATGTTTGGAGGAGCCAATGGGTGGGGGCTCAGGGGAGAGTTTTTTGGAGGGTGGCCCCTTTTTGCATTTGGTGGAGCCTTTGGAAAGAGAGGAATGGTAGATCTTTTGATGGGAAGGAGTCCTCCATTGGAGTGCTAAAATTTTCTGTTATTTGTACCCTTTTTTGTTGGGGTTAGGGGAGAGACTACTCTTCTCTTGAGGATATTGTTGACTTCATGGGCTCTTTGAGTTCATAGGTTCCGTTTTGTTTTTGTATAGCTTGGGACGCGTTCCCCTTTTAAAAGCTTTTCAATACATTTTACTTATCAAAAAAAATTTCTAAATGTGGGTCACGTGACAGCACATGCGGTCGGAGCATTGACAGATGGAGTCGTCTGCAACAAAAATCTATAGTTTAGGGAGTTTCTTACAATTTTTGTAATTCAGGGGGTTTGTTGCAGGTTTACCAATAATTCAGGTTTTTTTTTTTTTTTTTTTGCATTTTACCTTATTCAAAGTTGTCTAAAGTCATTCCCAAAAAGTCAAAAACAATTATTTAATGTTATTCCTACAGTAGCATAAATATGATGTAATTAGGTGAAATGGGATGGAAACTAACAATCAGAATATTATTGCAGAGTCAGACATTTTTAGAACATCAATATATGAACCATCACTAGATCCTGAGAGTTGTGACATCTGATTTAAAAACAAAAAAAGCCATTGGTAAGGGCATTGATTGCATCATCAATAATATTCCAAAGGATCAAATAACAATAAGAAGGCATAGTGTTCTTTGTTGGATTTTGCTTCAATTTTTTATTTTCCTTTTGTTGGATGATAACGGAGAATGTCTCCCACCCCCTTCGGGGGAGCAGGACTACCCTTCAAATACCTATAATGTTATGTCTTCTGCTTCAACGTTCTTGAGTTTCTTTTCAATAGTTTCTGTTATTCATTTCCAGTTAACTTTTTTATGGATCATAAAGGAGTTAAAAATGTAGATTGATGTCAGTTTCCTACTTTATAACCATGGAAGGACAAAAACTTTTTAGTGTTGCCTTTGCTACACAACCACTAAAAATTATGAAGCAATGAAGGTGGATAAAACACAGGAATTTCAGTGTTATTAAAGGCGCGCCTAGGCGCTAGGCGCACGCCTAGGCTCGAGGCGCAGATCTAGTGCCTATTGTCATCCCAGGCTCATTGATGTTTACTAGGCGCACGCCTCGGTTGCGCCTCGTCCTATTTGTTAGGTTGTGCCTAGGTACGCCTCATTGTTTTTTTAAAAAAAAAAAAACAATTATTCTATTTCTTAAGTCAAAAAAGCTACTTTTGGAAACTTAATAAACTAATAAGAAAGCCAAAGCTTATGAGAGAAGGAACTTTTGTTCAAAAGAATAAACAAATAAGAAAGCCCAAGAATCAAAGTATGAACATAGGAAGGGTGAGACTGTGAGACCAACGACAAAGCCCTAGTTGCAGAGACAAACGATGAAGCCATGTCAATTCTTTCTTCTCTCTCCTCTCCTCTACTTCTCTCTCCTCTCATCTTCGCTTACTTCTCTCTCTTCGTCTAGTTCTCTTCTCTCTCTGTCTTTTCTTTTTTTTTGGGCTTTGTTTTTCCTACCTTTTTCTTCACACTTTCTCTCTCTTCTCATCTACTTCTCTCACTTCATCTACTTCTTTTGTCTCTGCATCTTTTTTTTTTTTGGGCTATGCTTTTTTTCCTTTTCTTGTTAAGAGGTTTTTTTTTGTTAATAGATTTATTTCTTTTTGTGCTCTGTTTTTCCATTAAAAAAAACAAATTCTGTTTTGCCTTTCAAGAAAATAAATTTGTGCTTTGTTTTATGGTTCATGCTTATATGATCAATGGATTTATATTTGATATTAATTTTTAGAATATTGATACGACTTATGAGATATGAATGCTTTTATGGTAGTTTAAAATTTCAATTGTACGCCTCACGCCTAGGCCCCAAAGGACCTCTAGCGCTTTGGTGCGCCTTGAGCCTTTAATAACATTGAGGAATTTGTACTATTTCAGTAAGATACATAGCATAGGACCTGTGAATTCAAGCTTAACACTACTGCCACTTATAAAGACAACAAGTAGGAGGGGGAAAATAAAAACAAAAAGGCATGCATTCCAGAAGAATGGGAACTAATAATTGTACTTTACATATAAAATATTTAATTTTTCTTGCACGTAACAGATATTGATATTTATAGAACAATATTACTTTGTATTTAAAATTATAAATAGTGTTTAAACTTTGTCTACAAGCTGTTCCACAACCAAACACCTCACTTCAATGTTCTTTTCGATGGGTTGAATGATAATGTATTATGTGGCTATATCACGTGACAAACCAAAAGGCCAACAAACCAAGAAGTGCACACACAAACAAGATACACACCTGCATCCAATAGAAAAAACCACGTAAGAGATTCAGCGCTTTACGTCGATCAAATCGGGCTTCAGAAATCTTGCTTTTAAGATCTGCATGATTTAAGAAAAACGAAAAATTATAAGGAATTTCCAAAAGTTTCTCACAAATAAAAATTTGAATCGAGTTGGATCTGAACTGAAAACAAAAACAAAAGAACCGGGAGAATCATGCACAAATAATTTCTGAGATATAACGTCAAGCAGTGAGAGAATCAAACCCAGAGCAAAACAAAAACTTAGTATGTTAAAATGACATGCAAGAAAGAGATTTGAGAATGATAAGGAAGAAAAACATTGAAATTTTGTGTAAGGAAGGAGATGTCATCGTGACAGATATGGATGTGAGTCTGTGGCAATCCAAAGCAGTCATGGGGAGATGAAATGAAGATTTTGATACCCAGCAATTAAACTATTAAGCAATAATTAATAGACAAGGGTAAATATCACAATAATGGAGTTTAAATTGTAGCGGGTAAAGAAACCTAGGAAAACGTGGACACCATGATAGTAATCACAAGATATAACATCATTACAAGATTTGGGTGCTTATAAGACAATTGTATCTTCACTCTTCAAAATGGCTAAAGCTCAGTTCAAGTCATGAATAGGGGTTGCTAGAAGGTAAGGAAGCACATTCTAATTCTAAATACATGCAAATAACAATAGAAGTTGTTGAGCGAATAGCTATTTCAAAATCATAAGAATTTTTCATCCCCATGATAACCAGGAATTCAAAAGTTCATGGTGCTTTAGGAAAACATAAGGCAAGTAAGAAAAGAATAAGATAGATGGAAACTACTAAAAACAAGGAATAATTTGAAAACAACTTCGTAAATGAAAGAATATATCTATTAGCATTTAGTCAAAATATCTACTATTGAGCAATTGATGTCCAAACTGTACAATTAGGAAAAAACAATTATAAAAGAACATATTGGTTGGGTGATCTCATTTCTAAGTTGATAGTGTCGTCAAAGTTGCATCATACCATTGTTGTGGTGATACTCAAAATAGAAAAAAACAACTTCAATGGCAGAGAAAAAGGCATTCAACTTACCATCATAGTGATCAAGATATGATTTGCCGATATTACTTGCTTGGTAAAATAGTGATCCCGAGCAACGCAAGTCTATATTACGTTGCACTGGCTTTCTCGCCTTTATATTATGCAAAAGCTCTTCATACTCCTCCTGGTCATAAGGTCTTTTGAGAATACTCACGACCTTCTCCCTAAACTGAGATTTCTTGCTTTCACTTGGATGTCCCAGACACTGCCAATTGTCACCCGCCAGATAAACAAATGTAAAACAACATAACAATTCAACAAAAAAATGTAAACAAATTTTAAAAACAGGCATGAGCCAAAAAAATTTACAGCATAGGAGGATACGTACAGATGAATCAAACATTTTTGAAGGTACAAATGGATTCTCTGATGGAGCACTATCTATGTCTAATATTTCTACATCAGATGAACTATCAATATCCTCTTCTTCATACTTTACCCTCTTTCCATTCTCAGTCACGAAAACAATGCAATCACCTTCCTGTTCCAAACAATTCAGGAATGCTCGGTAGCATTCATCCACCATACCATTTTCCATAGTTTTGGGTCTTTCCACCTTATCTTTCCCAATAATGTACCTCGAAGTCTTTTGTGTTTCAATCTTGTCTTTGCTCGGAACATCAGTCACATCTTTACGAGCTTCTATCTTCTCTCTATTCGAAAATTTCCCTGATTTTCTTGAGGTTTGGGCCTCAGGCTCGTTATCCAACCCATACTTCTCCTTGTACCTTATTAATAAAGACCTCCCGCCCGTCATAGTTACCTCCAGTTTATATGAATTCCCATATTCCCTCAAATTCTCCAAGAACATCTTATATTGAGGGTCCATGTCGTCTTCTTCATCACGAACACGTTCCTCACTTTCCCTGACTGTCCCATCTTCCTTTAAATTCTCCAAGAACATCTTATATTGAGGGTCCGTGTCATCTTCTCCATCACGAACATCATCATGACTTTCCCTGACAGAGTCTGCTGGTTCTCTATTATTCAAATATGACTCAATCATCATCAATTCCATCACCCAATTGATTCTCTTCCAATGTTCTGCAGTAAGCTCAGAATTTCCAGTACCAAGCAGCCTTCTCTTCAATGTCCTCACCAGTCTCTCATCATTCTGTGTTGATGATGAGAGACTGGCGAGGCGATTGACCCAGAAACAAAGATCAAAGAGCCCCATATTAACCCAGAAACCAACTTAGTAACCCCAAACACCAAACTTCTTTTTTTTAACCAAACTTCTTTTTTTCCCCTTGTTTTCTCAAGAAATACAACAACTCTTTCATATAACCAAACCCCAATGTACAAAAAATAATTCTGCTAAAAAATGAAAATAAATAAATAAACTGAAGTTAGATAACGAATAATGTAGTTTTAAGCAACACGCACAAATCAAACTACAACAAACGACAACAAAGTTATACATCAAAAAAAATAAATAAATAAGCAATCTTAAAATATTTTGCTAAACCTAAGTCACTCAGAGTGGGAGTAGGAACGACAACGAGCGCGAGAGTGGAAAAATCTAAAATTTAGTCAAAGTGAGAGCACTTGGAGAGCTTTTGTACACGTGTACGCTAGTGTGCATAATTTTATTTTTTTTAGTATATTTGTACATATGCTAAAGGCCGTTATATATATATCTATATTTTTGATAAGTGTACATATGCTAAAGGCCATTATATACTTTGTGAAATAATAAAAATGTAATTTCATAAGTACTAGAAAATGCGTTTGAGCTATAAGAAAACTTATTTCTTCAGTTAGAGATACAACAAATTTAATAATAATTAAAATAAAAAATTATAGTATATTTTTATTTTTTAAAAAATGCAACCTTAGAAATCTATATATTTATTTTAGATTCTTAAAGAGATACTGTTTAATTTTTAGTACATAAAATGATTAATTTCAAGAATTATAAAACAATAAACTTCTTAATTAAATAAAGTAAAACTAAAAAGTATCTTATAAAATATACACTGCACACACACACACACACATTTTATACTTTTACAATTAAATAATGAAACAAAAGTGATCAATATAAACAGGCATCAATACGGCATGGATTTGTTATTCATCTTTAATATTGTAGGTTTATTCTTAGTTCTGCACATTTTTAACCGTTTTTATTCCATAATAGATACAATTTTGATAATTGTCATATAATATTAAATGTTACATGTTGAATTCACAAATTGTGAGAGACGCTCTCAAGTGCCATACCGTGCACGGGAGAGTGGCACCTTTTCAGAATGATTGTGTGGCTTAATGGTAATCCTAACTTCAACACATCAAAATAAAAAAAAATAATAATTAAACAGACTCACACATCCACAATTGCCCCCTATTGACCTTAACATTTCAGTTGAAAAGGAGATGAAGAAACCCTAGACTAAGCTCTAGTAAACACTAACACAAGAATATACTTAATAATTTGAGTTACAAGGTAGATATTATATGAAGAATCATGTCTTTATATATAATACGTGTAAATCAAGTATGAAATTTACCTCAGCAAAGAAAATGTGGTCGACGAGAGGCGAGTTCCACTCACAGAGATCTAGGAAGCGAGTACAAAAGCTCCACAATTGCCCCCTTTTGTACAAGAATATGCTTATCTAGCGACAGACTTTTTCTTTTTTCTTTTTTCTTTTTTCTTTTTTTCCACCGAGATGTAGCGAGTAGTAAAGTTATTGAGCAGGGCTTTATACTCACTCACCCGTACATGCAGAATAGCCACTCCCCCAAATATCGTTCATTTTTTTTTTTGGTATCCGTGGGATGAGCTCTTCTAACATCTGTCTATTTTCACTTTCTTGATTGTGGTTTAAAAAAAAAAAAAAAAAAAAAAATTTGTAGAATTTAAATAATAAAATAGTTTTTTTTTTTTTTTTTTTTATCTATGATAATAATTGTTTTCTCTTGTTTTTTTCTATCTAACCATATAAAGCCAAATGAAATATTAGTTATCAAAAACGAAAAACGTTAAAGTGCAAAAAAACCTTAGATAATATAGGTTTTGTACATAATGCATTCCTCATTTTTAAATTTGAGCGCTGTGGATCTCTAATTTCCAAGAAATACGCATTTTAGTCCATATTTTTCAAAAAAAGTATAAATAACCCCTCATTTGACCAATTTTTGGCAAAAAATAAATAAAAAACTCGATTTTGCCATTTTTCTTCTTATGTTGCCCCTCACATAATGTGCATTTACACCCCAACCAACCCATTTCCTATATGCTCTCTCTCTCTCTCTCTCTCTCTCTCTCCATAACTAGATTACCACCACTACCTCTGCCGCTCACCACCATAACCGTTTCTCAATTAGTTGGGACTGCACTAAGTATTTTCCCTTTCTCCTCTCTTTTTATTCTATCGTGTATATACACACACAAACACCAAGCAAAACCTTCCTTTTTCAAATTGGGCTTTAATTTCAATTAATTGCAATTAATTCTCAATTATAAGGCAAGAATTCCTGCCCAATAGAGGGACCGGTGCCGACCGATGATGAGAGAGAGGGTTGGGAGGATATCGGTGGCTAATATTAGTCGTGGGTTTGAGAGGAGGACCGCAGTCTGAAACTGACTCTTCTTCACTTGTTCTTGTAACGGGTGATGCACCTCGAGAATAATCGTTCGACAGCGCGCGTAAACTTGTCAAACAGGCCTTCACCATCCCACCTCTACCATTGTTACCATTAATGAAGTGGTCTTATGTATTGATTGCAAAAGAATCAAACTTTTGGGGCTCTGCTCTTCATATAGTAAAACAAAATCTATGGTTGTTGCATAAGGCTGCCATGGCGGGGTTACGGCGATTGCAGCGTTACTTGCCATTGAATAGAGACCCATTTGGTTAATACATATATATATATATATATAATCTATGGTTCAATGGTGAAGCGCTTGCTTTTAAGATCATTGGTTTGGATCCAACTAGTGACGACTTAAATCCACCATTGAAACCCACCATTGACCTGATATATGTGTGTGTGTATTTATTGAAGCCCACCATTGTTCAGGACTTAAATCCACTATAGAAACCCATCATTGTTCAGGACTTAAATCCGCCATTGAAAACCACCATTGAACTATATATATATTGTGGGTACATATAATTATTCATTGAAACCCACCATTGAAACCATATATTGAAAAAACTCTATGTTACATGGATATTGTAGGGGGGGAAATCTCACCCTCCAATTAGAATCTGACATATCACCAAAGGAAATCCCAATAAAATAACTATCTTGGGCGAGCTAAATATTAGGCCCAAACTATCTTGTGCAGTCCACCTACCACCAGAATTGTACTTATAGTAAGCTTCTTATATATGGAAGAATTGGAGAAGGAAACAATCAAACCAATTATGGAAGAATCGTGGGGGGCAACTAATGCGAGTCCAACCCTAATTCTTCCACGAATTTGTATAAATAGAGGCTTAGACCTCCAATGAAAAAGGGTAATAACCTCTATTTTTTATTATTCATTGTTTATACTAAGTGCACGGTGATCTTTCTTTGACTTTTCAAAGTTGACAAATTTTTGCTCCTACACTTTGACGTCGTCTGTGGGAATCTAGAAATATACTCCCATAAGTAGTCATAAGATTTACATGCGACTTTGCTCTGGCATCGACAGGATAGGCTATAGTTAACCAACAGATGAAGCTCATGCAGAAGATGCATGAAGAGTTCTTGCAACAGTTCGATGCACTCCACCAAGCAAATAAAGCCAGCATAACCCAAATCTTACAACTTCAGTAATGGAATGACACTCTCTAGGCCCAAATCTTACAAATTTAGCAATGGAATGACACTCTCTAGGCAATAGTATAACAAATTGTGGCACAACCACTGCAACCGGAGGTTAATCCACCAGTCGAGGGTCAGGGAAACCTCCCTAACCCTGTCGCACCTCGAGTGGTAGAAGATCGAGCTAATGGAGAACAAAGAGAGGCGCGGGTGAGAGTCGAGGTTGTACCATCAGAGAGTCACCTCCATCAACAAACTGAAGCACATGAAGAGCAAGCCGAGTCAAGCCACAGGCTTATAGTATGGTCCAATGGTGTTTCACCTTTCTTTGATAAAAGCAAGATGATGAAAGTGCAAACGCTAGGGGAGATGGCCAAGGCGCACAAGTCCTTACCGATAAACTCCCTTTACTATGCCAGTGTTCACCCAGTTTAACAGAACCAGGGATTTTTCCCAGCATTTAGATCAATACTCTCAAAGATGGCCATGGACAACCATAATGATTTACTCATGTGCAAGGTGTTTCCCACCAATCTAACGGGGCAACGTTAGAGTGGTTTAAGAACATGTCACACAAGTCAATCCTATATTACTTGACTCTATATACTGCTTTCTTAGCCCAGAATTGTGGCAACAAGAAACAAAAGAATGCCATCTCTAACCTGTTCATAATTAGGTAAAGAAAGGGAGAAAAGCTACGAGACTTCCTGAACAGATATAACATAAAAGCCTTAGAAATCCCAAACTACCATCCCATAACAGCTATTGAAGCATTGAAAATAGCTATGATCCAAGGTACTAAGTTTGACACATCATTGATTAAGTATTCCCCACCGTACATACCTATATTAAATGCTAGGGCACAAGCCTATGTGAGACTTAAGGAGAACATAGCCAATTGAGTTCAGCATGCTACTCTTATTTCGGTTGAGAGCAATCTAAAGGAGAAAACCGATGGTTTTAAAAACCCGAGGAGTCATCTGGCTTCTGCCCCAGTCTTGGCCCTACCAGCCATAGAGAAGAGACAAAGAATTGAAGAAAGGTTTCGAAAAAACAAAGTAAGGTTCCCAGCTTCACCGCTAATCCAGAAACACTTAGAGCAAAGGGACAATAGTAAGCATTGTGTTTTTCATTGAGATTATGGACATGTAACTAATGACTGCAAGACTCTCAGGAAGTACGTTAAAACTATGATATCAAAAGGGGAACTGTCAGATTACCTCCTGCCTAAGGAACAGCCGAGGTTAAGGAAAGGAAACACCAACCCTAGAAGGATAAAAGGCAATCATATAAAAGTGATTTACGTTATTCATGGAAAGCCATAAAAGGATTAAGAGTTAGATGAGGTGTACCAATCCATATTAAGGGTAATGCATAAGTTAAGGAAATTAGCCACTGTAAACACCATCGTCGCTGGTAATATCAAGATCTGCTTTGGAGACGAGGACCTATCTAGAGTCTAACTCGCCCATAAAGATCCTTTAGTAATAAGCCTTCTAATGGCTAACTATCTAATCAAAAAGGTGTTGGTGGACCCTGGTAGTAGTGCCAATATCATAAATAAGTGTGCCTTCAAGTAACTGGAGATTGACCCCGCATCGATCAAACCTACTTCTAGCCCATTATTGGGATTTGATGACACGAAGGTGGAGCCCATTGGAGTGGTAGACTTATCAGTTACCACAGCAAAAAGAACATTAAAAGAAAATTTCGTGCTCACATAAATTCACCCATCTTACAACCTTGATAAGTCTTGAAATATACATTATTCAGCCCTTAATCTTCATTAGTTAGTAACTTAGTTTATCTTTACTTTCTGGTTCTAATCGTAATTTGTTTCATTCATTACTTTTAGACTTTGAATATTAAACAGAGTTAATTCTAGTGCCTTAGAGATTGATAAATGTCAAGCCTTGGGAGAGCAATGAAAAAAAGCTCAAAGTCAAAGTCAAGAGAAATCCGATCACTCGAACTGTGTTCGGACTCTGCTCATTTGGACTTCTGACCCACGCAATCGGATTGAAGTCTACCAGGTGCGTAAATTATGTTTTAAGCCTTGATTCAAGGGGGCTCGGGGTGCAATCCATTAGGTGTCCTTGTGCATATATTCTGACCATTCACATATAAATAGAATATTAACCATATTTGGAAAAGAGGTTGGATAATTAGAAGATTGAATAGACAAATTGGACACATTCTCTCTACATTCTCTTTCTAGGTTTTCTCTCAAGGAAGAAGAAGAAGAAGAAGAAGAAGAAGAAGAACCTAAGCTTGGAGATCAATTGTGAGACCACCATGATGACATATACCTTCTCCATAACTGGTTAGTTCTTCACTTGGAGCTTGGATGAGCCCTAAACTAGTTTAATTAAACTTTGACTTTTAATTTTGGGGATTATGAATTGTAATTAGTGCTTGGTCTTATGAATTCAAACTTGGTTATACTAAGGTTTTTATTGATAATTCTTTTGATAAGTGCTCAAATGTTACACATTTTAGCACCTAAGTTATGGTATTTTAGTTCATTCATCTATCTTACTTTCGTGTTTAAGTTTTAATTTGTGCTTTTGTCTAATTCGGGTCAATAAGGTTTAAACGGGCTAAAAATAGCCTATTAATCCCTTTTTGTAGTTAAGAAGAAAATCTGGAAAAATTCAGAAAAACTGTATTAGAGCATCGGCAATCGATCGCAGATTCATGGCGATCGATCATAGGCCACGTCATCGATCGCAGCCACGTCAGCATTAGATAGAGCTTCCACGTCATTAATCGTTAAAGTTTCGATCGATTGCAGCCAATCTGTGATCGTTCGCAGTGCCACGTTAGCGCCAACTAAGCGGATAGGATTGCCAGTTGTCAAAGATAAGGATGCCACGTCAACCATGATCAATTGCCGAAGTCCACGATCGATCGCAGAAGTTGGCGATCGATCGCCACCTTGCTGGTAGTGAGTTGTTTTATTTCCGACTCCACCTGAACTTCCCTTACCACATGACTGCGAGATTGGATCAATTAGAGGGCCAAATTCGGACTTGTTTACTACTCCAAGGAGCTTGTATTTAAAGTAAAATGAACCATTTGTTAACGGTTCACCAATTTGTCAGCTAGTTTTACAATTGAATCAATTTTAGACAATAGAAATTCTCTCTCTAGATTAGGGTTTCTTGTGAAGAAAAGAGGCAAGATCACCATCATACTTAGGGTTTCTACCAAGAACACCAAGAAGAAGAAGAAGAAGCTAAGCTTGAAGATATCTGTAATACCCTTAATTTCAAAAGGATAATACTGGTATTTAATTTATAGGTTAAATTGTATTTTTAATTGTTGACGTGCATATGTGTTAGTTGAATTGATTTAATTGCATTTAATAGTTTAATTGTTTTAATTTAATTGATTTAATTGCTTTCATTGTTTAATTGTTTTACTCTAGTTATTTTAATTGAATTAATTTACTTAAATTTAATGGTTTAATTGTTTTAATTTAATTGTTTAAATTGAATTGATTTAATTACATTTAATTATGTTTTCAATGTAACTGTATAGAAGGTGGCACATATTATATTAGGTTTTCAGTTCAGCCGACGTTGGAATATAACCTAGGTTGTTCTATGGGCCGAGTAAATCAGATTAGGGTTTAGTTGAGCCTAGGATTAATGTGGCCTATAAATATTCACCTAGGATGTCTGCCTAGGGTTTTAGAACAATACTACGACATAGTAAGGTTGAGAGAAGTTTTGGAGACGGCTGGGAAGAAAATAGAGAGTTGGCCAGAGACTTTAGGACGACGTCGGTGTAAGGCAAGTTCTATTCCTAACTCTATCCCTTAGACTTGTGTTCTTTACATCTCTAATACAATTCCAGGAGTAAATAAATGTTGAAAGTAAACTGTTTCGCATGTTTGAATTGTTCTAAACTGTATGTTTGTATGAACTGTTATTTTTTTGAGTTAATTCTTCTTTGTATCCTTTTTGGTTCAGTTGAAGTTAATTACCGAGGAATGATTTTAAAACTCTCTGAAACACTAGAACCTAATTTTTTAAATCAGTAGAAACCTTGTCAACGGAGGACGGAATTGATGGAAACCGCCGGAGATCAAACCGTGGAAGGAAAACAAGTGAACTGGGCAAACGGAGCAAGGAGGCAGCTCCCCATAAGGGTGGAGCCGGCTCCAATGCAGGTTGAGGCAGCTCCACATAGTGTGGAGCCGGCTCCACACAAGGGGGAGGCTGCTCCCCATGTGGGGGAGGCGACTCCACCCCCTTTTGATGCTATCCGGGCGGCGTAGTTTTGCTTCTGGGTTGAGTTTTTGAACTTTTTGGGATATTCAAGGACTGTACATGGGGATTTAAAGGAGTTTTATGGTTGTATTAGAGCTCCCGAGGATGTGGGAATGAATAATAAATTACTTAGGGTTGATAGGTTGAACATCAACCAGTTTCTAGCAAGTTATGCAAACTGTTCGTGGGTGTGAGTGGTTTAAATTTCTTAAGTTATTCTAGAAACTTTTTGTGAATAATTATCAAAAACTAATCATGTATTTGTGGTATAAACTAAGCATGTTAAAATCTATATATTTTTCCTATGCTTGTTATGGAATGATTGGTGTTTAAGTTGTCTTATTTATCGCATCAATTGTTGGACTATAATTATGAGTATAATAATTAGTCAAGGTTTATTATGCTTGCTGCGGAGTTAATTGATGTAGAATTTTAATCATGTTCTCTTAATTATATGGAATCTGGGGATAAGTTAATACCTACACATACTGTTGTATTATTAATTGCAGGATTGTTGGTTGGGTAGTGTATAATCAGCATGTTAAAAGATGTTAATTTAATATGCTCACTTATGGAACAATTGATGTTTAAACTTACTGTTTTTAGTCTCAATTGTTGGATTTATGGATTTGGATGATATTTACATGCATGTTCTGTATTATGATTTCTGGATGGACGGATTGTATGCACCGGTATAGGACGGTGACATACTAGGGGGATTAGCTCAAAAATCGCTAAGTCCTACCTACTCTGGAAATTAAAGAATTGGATTAACTAAAAGTTAAGTCCTATTGATTTGTAGTGTCATGACAACGACTAGTTGAGTGGCACTACTAGGGATTATGGATGGATTTTATATATATTGTTATGGTACCTCGATATGAGCTTGAGTCTTAGAATCGATGGTTAGGGAGCGTATATGCATCGGGATACATAGCTGGCTATGATGGTTAGAGGTGCACCCTGTTTAGACTTAGGTACACATGCCCACTTCGTGTGTATTTTAGCATGTTACCTCTATTCAGATTTAGACCGGCCTGTAGTCCAGTGAGAATCCTTTAGTGTGATTATATATATACTTACAGACTATTAGCTATTGTTGAATTGTTTAGAATGTACATGCGTATCAAGTCTTTGCTTGGATTGTAGTCGGTTAGAACTTACATGTGGGCCTGACCCACTTATATTTTTCAGGTACACAACATTTCCAGACTTAGACTTGATCGTGCTGAGTAGAGATTTCTACTCACTCTACCGACGACGTAGGATTTCTCTCCATAACTTACTTCTGGATGTTCTATCAGTTATTTTTTTAGTACAGTTTGGATAGTTATTAGGGGTCCACTAAAGATGGATTCCCGAGTTGTTTAATCTATCGGAGGTTTTAGATTATTAGGATTTAAGTATTTATCTTTAAAGGATTTTATTTTAGTTTCTTTCAGTTTTTAATATTTGTTCTTATTTCATTTTGTCATCTGTGTTCGTTTTTTAAAATATTAATTGTTTGATATTCCCTCGGGTTTGGGCCTAGGCCTGATCAACCCGTGTCTCGAATCTGAGGGGTATCACAGTTGGTATCAGAGCACTCCAGGTTCAAGTGTCTTTAGGATTCTATCGAATAAGACTTCCGCGTTCTCTCTTGATTAGAGCTTAAGTTTAGGATTCATTGTATTCCTTACGGTTCGTTTAGAAATGGTATTAGTGTCTGTCTTTCCGTGTTAACAGATGGTTAACGCTAGAAACGGACAGAGCATGTGAGGATCTAGAAAGGAGAGTAGAGCGGCACATAGGCAACAATATCTCCTACGGCGTCAGCAAATGGAGGAAGAGCAACAAAGGCTTGGGATGATGATGGTCAGTTTAAGGAGGCAGTTCAACAGACTCGAGATCAGGGAGGAGATCCAGAGTATATTCCTCACATCAATGATTTCATTACTCGGGCTATAGAAGCTGGGGTAACAGCTGCACTTCGGAATCAACCTCAGGTACAGCCGGCACCGTTACCAGCACTGGTTGTTCAAATTGATACTTAGGAGAAGGCCAGGAGTTCTTTCACAAAGGGGAGCCCAACTGAGTTTACAGGCTCCACCGATGCAAGAGCAGCTCACCAATGGAAACAGGACATCGAGAGACATCTTTGCTTGGTTCACTGCACGGAGGTTCAGAAGTAGATGCTTGCTACATTCAAGTTTGTTGGGGATGCACTATAGTGGTGGGAGTCAGTTACCATAACAGAGGAGAGGATGACATTGACATATGATGAGTTTAATGCACACTTTGAACAAAAGTATTTCCCTTATGCGGTTAGGGCAGCCATGAAGACTGAGTTTCTTAATCTGCAGCAGGGGAACATGACAGTGGTGGAGTATGAGCAGCAGTTCACGTGCTTATGTCTTTTTGCACCGGAAGAGGTGGATACCTAGGAGAAGAAGCGCAACAGTTTCGTTAAGGGAATGATGCGATCTATCAAGAGAGCTATTACGGGTAATCCAGCCTATACTACCTATGCTCAGGTGGTAGACGCAGCTTTATCGCATCAATTGTTGGATTGTAATTATGAGTATAATAATTAGTCAAGGTTTATTATGCTTGCTGTGGAGTTAATTGATCTAGACTTTTAATCATGTTCTCTCAATTATATGGAATCTGGGGATAAGTTAATACCTACATATACTGTTGTATTGTTAATTGCAGGATTGTTGGTTGAGTAGTGTATAATCAGCATGTTAAAAGATGTTAATTTAATATGCTCACTTATGGAACAATTGATGTTTAAACTTACTATTTTTATTCTCAATTGTTGGATTTATGGATTTAGATGATATTTACATGCATGTTCTGTATTATCATTTCTGGATGGACGGATTGTATGCACCGGTATGGGACAGTGACATACTAGGGGGATTAGCTCAAAAATCGCTAAGTCCTACCTACTCTGGAAATTAAAGAATTGGATTTACTAAACGTTAAGTCCTATTAATTTGTAGTGTCATGGCAACGACTAGTTGAGCGGCACTACTAGTGTAACGCCCCGAATTTTATTCTAAATAAAATCCTCGATTTACTCAAATCAAAATACTTCATAAAAGACACCCAGGATCTCAAAAGAAATAAAATACCCTTTATTGATACAAAATCAATCAAATTTCCTCAAATAAATAAGGCAATAGCTCAAATTAATTAAATTGATACTAAATCAATTTCCTCAAATAAATACATAAAAGTCTCTAAATAAAATAATTTAATTCCTCAACACTAACTCTTCCACCTAAGCCCGCTACTATGAATCCAAGTTCATTCTCGGTACCTGAAACTGTAGGAGGGTGAGACAGTAGAAAAAACCATAACAAGGATTTCAAAGAGTTTCATGATAAATTTGCTTCACAAAAATATATATATGCTTTTAAACAAAATACATATATGCAATTTTAACAAAATAACAATCAACAAAATATTTGAAATAAAATCATTCAAGCCATTCAAGGTATGATGATCCCTACTCTGTAAAACCATTATTCCACACTGGATCATCAAATTCATCAAGTTTTTGCTTTCTCTGAGACTCTCGAATTCCTCACTGTATTTCTCATTCTCAAATTTTCTAGCTCTGCTTTCTTTCAGTTAATACCATCTGTGCACAAACACTCTATTTATAATGCAATTCCACCGACACTTTTACAAAAATCTACCACCAAAAATCAAATCAAATATCTAAAGTGCAACATAATAATCACAATGGACCCGCCACCCATGCTTCCTGTACTTTACTTATCCTTATATCTTCATTCATTTAATTCTATCTTCACTTCATCCATATGGAGAAACAATTACAATGTATCTCCAAAATATCACCATGTGTAAAATACCAACAAAGTCAAAAATAGTTGGGCCCGCCATTACAACAACAAATACAATTTCCATTTTGTTCTCCTATTCCGTCCAAGTGCTGCCCCCCTTCAATAGACAAGAACATATATATATAACATAGCCCATGTGAACTCTACCAAAGTCAAAGAAATCTACCATTAAAATTACATGTGGGACCCGCCAAAATATCACAATTCCTATTTTCCTTCTTCTCTATCCCAATCTCGGCTGAACCTGCTCCCTTCCTTTTTATTTTTATCATCATTGCACCACCTTATCACCATTTCACAAACTGATACTCCAAATATATATATATATATATATCAAATAAAATCAATTAACCCATTAAACCTATTTTCACCAATTCGGATGGCAGCCCTTTTTCCATCTAACAGACGCAATGTATATATAACATATATACTCAAGTGCAAAAATCAAATCAACCTCATCTCTCTTCAATTCGGCACCTAGGTGCATCCTCCCTTCCATCAGAATATATATATATGCAGCACAAAAAAAAAAATATAAATTGTAAATCTCCAATTCAATAATCAATAATCAATAATCAATAATCCAACCTCAAATTGGTAAATCTCCAATTAAAACAAAATAATCAAATTTGTTGACAACTAAAAATCAAGAGTATATAATTTAAAATTAAACTCTAAAAATTCGGGTTGTCACAACTAGGGATTATGGATGGATTTTATATATATTATTATGGTACCTCGATATGAGCTAGAGTTTTAGAATCGATGGTTAGGGAGCGTATATGCATTGGGATGCATAGCTGGCTACGATGATTGGAGCTGTACCCTGTTTAGACTTAGGTACACACGCCCACTTCGTATGCGTTTTAGCATGTTACCTTTATTCAGGTTGAGACCAGCCTGTAGTCCAGTGAGAGTCCTTTAGTGTGATTATATATATACTTAAGGACTATTAGCTATTGTTGAATGGTTTAGGATGTACATGCGCATCGAGTCTCTGCTTGGATTGTAGTAGGTTAGAACTTACGCGTGGACCTAATCCACTTCTATTTTTTAGGTACACGACAGTTCCAGACTTAGACTTGATCGTGCTGAGCAGAGATTTCTACTCACTCCTCCGACGACGTAAGACTTCTCTCCATAACTTACTTCTAGATGTTTTATCAGTTATTTTTTTATTACAGTTTGGATAGTTATTAGGGGTCCACTAGAGATGGATTCCTGAGTTGTTTAATCTATCGGAGGTTTTGGATTATTAGGATTTAAGTATTTATCTTTAAAGGATTTTATTTTAGTTTCTTTCAGCTTTTAATATTTGTTCTTATTTCATTTTGTCATCTGTGTTCATCTTTTAAAATATTAATTGTTTGATATTCCCTCGGGTTTGGGCTTGGGCCTGATCAACCAGTGTCTCAGATCCGAGGGGTATCACAATATCCCTTGAGGGTTCTATGACCACATCCATGAGTGGCTAAACATCATCTTAGGGTTTGGATGAACCTTAGGCTTGCTCTCTAAACCCAAGCTCTTAGTCTTTTTGGGGTAATCTTTGTTATAATGAATGTTTATCCTTGTGAATATATGTATCTTGATTTTTCACATGATTCTTATGGTTGAATGCTTCCTATTAGTTCTCTAGATTAGTTGCATGTCCATGTGTAATTAATTGAGGATTTCATCTCTACATTAGCTTTTCTATGTTAATTGCATGTCTATGTGTGATTATGAATCTAGTGATGACTATGCATAGATTTCATTTGATACACTTGTTGATTAATATAATGGGTTATGCCTATGCTTGATGGATTGTGCCATATCTTTAAATTAATTATCTTAATTTCCTTATCATTGGTTTAAATTATAGTGTAATTGCGTTTCAATTCTTAGATAGGTGGACAATTGTGATACCCCTCGATTCTAGAGCCACGGGTGATCAAGTCCGAGCACAGATCCGAGGGATACCAACCAATTAATATTTAACCGAATACAGAATACAAAATGAATTTAATAAATAAAAGTTTAAAAGCTGAAAAAAATACTAAACATAATCCTTGAAATTAAAATACTTGAAATCCAATTATCCAAAACCTTCTTAGAAAGAATCCTTCAATAATTTTACAACTCGGGAATCCATCTCTAGTGGACCCCTAATAACAATCCCAAACTGAAGGTAATTAAATAACTGAAGATAAAATCCAAATCTAACAATAAGAAAATAAAGTCCTACATCGTTGGTAGAATAGAAGATCGTCTCTGCTCAGCCCGAACAATCCCTAGACTGGAGACGCCCGTCACCTGAAAAATGATAAGTGGGTCAAGCCCACTAGCAAGTTCTATACTACTACTACCTAAGCAGAGACCCGATACGCATGTACATCCTAACCAATCCAACAATAACTAATAGTCCGTATATATATATATATATATATATATATATATAATCACACTACAGGACTCTCACTGGACTACAGGCCCGTCTCAACCTGACTAGTAGGCACCATGCAAAACGCACCCGAGGTGGGCATGACTACCTAGACCTAGCAGGGTATACATCCAACCATCATAGCCAACTATGCATCCCAATGCATATACGCTCCCTAGCCAACGACCCTGAGACTCAGGCTCATATCGTGGCACCATAAAAATATATTTAGATTCTATTTCAAACTAAAGTGTCACTCAACTATTTAGTGATTTGACATAAAACACAAGTAGGACTTAACTTTTGTAGTTAATCCATCCCTTAATCCAGAGTAGGTAGGACTTAGTGTTCTTTTGAGCTAATCCCCCTAGTATGTCACCGTCCTATATCAGTGCATACAAACCATCCATTCAATATTGATAATATATATATATATATATATATATATATATATATATATATATATGACAACATAACATATCAATATCAACATATCCAATCATAAGCATAACAAGAATGTTTAACTAGCATGTTTGTTCAATACATCTAGTACCTGATTCTCTGACAAGTTTTAAATACAGAGAATAAATATAATCATCCTGTAACCCACAACAAGCATAATAATAATAATAGAATTAATATGCTTATTGATACCTATTCCACAACATCCAATAAGTTGATATAAAGAACTCTTTGTAAACATTAACTAATTTCTGATTATACGATAACAGAATTTATATAAATTGACATGTTTAAACTCATACCATTGTTACATGATTTAAACGTAAAACCCCTAATTCAATTGCTAATTTAGAATTAAACAACTTGAATCGTCTGTAAAATTTCAACCATGTAAACTTCCTTAAAAGTGACTTACTGTCACTTATTCCGATTATAATCATTCTGTAATATAATATGCTTAATTTAAATTACAGAAACATGATTAAACAATATTCCCATTCCCAGATAAAATTGCAACTCATAGGGTTATGCACTTAAAATACTCTGCCTCCAAAACAGTCCACAAGTTCACTTGAAACTATAATGGTTTAAAACTACTGATTTCTTTGTAATTTATTATGCATTAACACACCCTCATAATTTTTAATAGAACTTAGATGCTACTGGAACATCCCTGCATAGCTCCTAATAGCATCTGGAAACACCAAATTCTGAAACCCGTAGCCAAAACCATCACTGAAAAGGCGAAAAACTGAAAACCGTTGAAGGAGCTGCCTCCAACCAAGTTAGAACCGCCTCCAAAATGATGGAGCCGGCTCCAAACATTGTTGGAGCCACCTCCAACCTTCTTTAAGCCGGCTCCATGTTTCCATGGAGCCGCCTCTTCTTCCCCCTCTCTCTCTGATTGTTTGTTTCGTCTCCGGTGAGCTCCATTGTTTCCGTTCCTCTCTGTTACAGCCTTTAACGCTTTTAATTATGCTTTGACTGATTAAACTAAATCCTAGGGTGATATAGAGTTAATTCAATTCATTACTTATTAACCAAATTCAATTGGAATAAGAATTTAGCAAAAACAGTTTCCGCAAGCCAAAACCAAAACCATGAATACATACTGTATAGATTTTGTTTAATCCTTCAAACCAACTTTATTTTTAGTTAAAACTAAATCCCAAGGTGCTCCAGAATAATTTAAATTCATTAGTCACTAATTAAATTCGATTGGAACAAGAATTACGCATGACATAATAATAACAAGCAAAAACAATTTAAAAACAATTAACATTCACATAGAGAAAGACATACTGCTTTGAAGTAAATAACAGGGCAACCAAATTCATTTATATTAATCTCTTCCTAGGACTGTACTAGGAATGCAAAGAACACAGGCCAAAGAGATAGAGTTAGTATAAAACTTGCCTGTGAGATTCGGTTCAAAAATCTCAACGTCTTCTCTTAAGCTTTTCCAGTGATCCTTTGGTTTTCCCTCTCTGTTCTCTCCCATACTCCTCTATGCTTCTCTCTATTCACTTGATGTCATGAATAGGGTTCTAATACCCTAAACCGAATGTAAGACATATATTTATAGGTTTACACCAAAACCCTAGTTTAACTAAACCCTAAACTGAAAACTCGGCCCATGGAAACCTAGTTAATGTTTAGTTATGTCGGCTACCTACATGACCTCTAAAAACCTAATTTAATAACATCTAACGAAAAATATAATTAAGTCAAATAAAATAAAATAAACCCAATTAAATAAATATATGCAATTAAACAATTAAATAAATAAATTAAATCACCAAATTCTCAATTAAATAAATTAAATCGTAATTAAACAATTAAATAAATACCCGGACTATCCTTTTA